CCCCCATCAGCGTCCATCAAAGAGCCCAGCCTAAGAGCCCCCCGCCGCATTACTACTAACCGTCCTCTTCCAACCCCCCCAGCCCCATCCACCACCCGTCCCCGCGGCGGGTTCTTTAGGAACAGGACTAGGCGTCACAGCCGGCGTCTGCGTCGGCGTCGCGAAAGGACTTCCTCCCATCGGACTCCCATTCCCACTATACCCTCCTCCCGCTCCTCCATTCATACCCCCACCGCCACCACCACCACTCATAACGCGCTTCATCCCCTCAAACCGACTCCTCATCTCCTCCAACTCCTGTCTCGCCACCGCCTCCGCCGTCTTCGCATTCACCAACTCAAGCAACAGCGCCTCACTATCCGCAGGCGAGTTATTCTCAGTCGCAAGCACACTCTGCGTAGCCAAGCTACTACTCCTCTTTGAAAACGGGACCGGCGGAGCAGGCGAATTGTAATTATTGTAATACCCCCCTCTCTCACTCTTCTGGCTATTCGTCCTGCCGAGCCTCAATTCCCTTAACCCGCTCGTGTTGATAGAATCACTCGTTGTAGAACGGGATAGCGTGGGTGGTGTATCCGGCGCATTCCCATGGCTACTGTGATCCACGCCCGTCCAACTCGCAGCCGCAGACTGTTTCCGCGCATTCTGCCTCAGTTCCTGGATGTTTTTCTCGAGGCGCTGGTTTGCGTTGTAGCTATCTTGCAACCTATGTCTCGTATCTTTGAGCGCGTCACGTGCGATTTGCAATTCTGCGTCGCGGTCCGACAAATCGCGCGCCAGGGCGTTGGCGCGCAGGGTCTCGTTGGCGAGTTGCTCTTTCGTGCGGGACAAGTTGTCGCGGAGGAGGGCTTTTGTTTCGAACATGGACGAGGCGCGGTGGTGGAGTGTGGCGGCTGGAAATCGGGATTCGAGCGTTTCGACGATTTCAGAGGCTTCTTCTGTGAGTTCGGGGGTGGAGGCGGCGTCATCGGAGGAGGAAGGGGGAAGGGTGGTTGCGGAGGTTATTGTTGTGCGGCGGCGGGAGGAACGGGTTGAGGGTGCGGCGAGGGTGGTGGTCTTTTTGCGGACTTTGTCGACGACGGTGCGGACGATGCGGTGGTCTTCTTTGCGGTCTTCGCGCTGCTTTTGGAGGGCGGCTTCGAGTTCGCTGTTTTGGCGTTGTAGCTGGCTTACCGACATGAGGAGTTGTTCGATTTGATAGTGTAGGTCCCGGTCTTTTGACGATGCGCCCATGGCCATGGAGCCGTGGCCCGACTTCATCGACAGCGCGTCGCCATTCGAGGCGCGCGAAATATCCGTCATGGCTGTACTTTGTGTCGCAGCAGAAGCATCGGATTCGGCAGTAGAGTTGAGTGTCGAGGCGAGACTCTGCTTGGACGCCGAGCGCCTGAGGAAGCTAACGGGGCGTGAAGGCGCGGAGAGACCCGGGCTGAGTGAAACGGACTTGGTCGAAGAGTTGGAGGGCCCCCACAGGCGGCCCAGGAAGCTCGTGGCAGATTTCTGGACTTGCTGCTTGGACGAATCCTTCTCCTGGGCCTCCTTGTACTGCTGCTCCAATCCCTGCAACCTTTCGCGCGTCACGTCGTTTGTGAAACCAACGAAATCACCGACCAATTCATCCGCCGACCCCGCGTTCCGCCCGTATGGGTCCCAGAGTTGGCGCCCCAAAAGCAACTGCATTACGTCCTCGAACTCACTCAGGGACAGAAGCTTTTGTTCATTGCGCTTCATTAGCGCGAGGGCTACCCGCATGATCGTCTCGGATGCGCCCTCGGCAAATAGTACGTCGTAGATGCGAAACAGCATGGGTAGCGGACATGTGACAGCGAAGAAAGACAGGAACCATTGCGATAGATATGCGGATTGCACTTCTAGATCGTCGAGATGTTGGGCTAGCTGAGGCATGTGTTGGTGGAGCAGCTTCTGGAACTGGAAGATGCGCAGATGGAGGCCGGAGAGGTCCGGCAGGAAACACGAGCGCAGATCGTAGTCTTCCATGAGCCTGGTGTTGTTAGTCGCTGACGTTGTGATGTGAGGGAAGTGCGATGACGTACCTCACGAGCACGCAAAAGGCTTCCTTGTCGCCCATCTGCATGAGCAGCGGGCCAACGAGGAAACCAAGACCCTGGCAGTAGCCAATCTTGTGGTCGTACAAGCTGAAGCACTTGAGCACGCGGCCGAGCATCTTCTGACCCTCGCCTTCAGGGTCCTTGAACATCTCCACACCGGGGAAACTGCGTCCCAAGTCCTTGTTGATGATGTTCTCGTACGGACTCGACTCTCCGCACAGCGAGTCATACTGGTCCTCGATCAGCTTCTCTCTCGAGCCAGCTGCACTCTGCCAGACGACGCCCCGCAGCGGCGCTGGTATGCCTCCCCGAATCTTATTCAAGCAGAGCGTGGGCAGTCTGTGGACGGTCTGAGGGTAGTCGCGTACGAGGGCAGCCCAGAACTCGAGTTCGGTCATGGGGGGCGGCGAGGGCAGCTGGGAGAAGCGCATGGTGGCGGTGTCATCCGCCACGAGACGCTTGAGCTGGTTGAAGGAGGGCGGTCGGGACTGGCTGCGGGCGCGGGCGACCTTCATGTTGGACTTTGAGTTTGAGAGGATGGCTTCGTTCTCCTGCTCTAGTCGGGCGAGCAGCAGGGCCATGGCCTAGATATGTTAGCTTTCGTTATTCACACAGGGGCCGGCTACACACCTCCTCCTCGCCCTCGGGCTCCTGTTCTTCCTTTTTCTCTAGCTCAGCCCAGTCGACCTCTTCGCTTTTTCCCGAGCCATTGCTAGTACGGCGCCCCCTGCAGTCTGGCGCTGCTGTCTTGGGGGAGACGGGTGCGTCGGTGTCCCGCACTGAGATGGTAGGGCTGGTCGGGGCGGGTGTGTCGACGCTCGATTGGCTCGCGCGGCGTCCGAAGGCATTGCGGATTTCCGTTGAGTTGGTTCGTGATGATGCTCTTCGCTCCTCAACTATAATCTCTGGCCGCATCACCGATTCCCTCGCGCCTTCCTCTTCCTCTGGGGTTCTGCCGTCCGTCTCGGAGAGGGGCACTGTGACCATCGAGTCTGTCGGCAGCGGCGAGCTGTCCACGTGTGACCTGGGCGCGCGCTCGACGGCTTCTTCTTTCACCTCCATGGTGATGCTTCCGCTGGACATGTTTGCTGTCTTCACGGTGGTGGTTCGATATGACGGAGCGGAAATTTGCTCTCCGCCGCGGCAGGTAGAAAGAACAGACCTGTTTACCTGTGGCGCTCGGTTCGGTGGTGCTGGTGTAGAGCGTGTTTCACTTGAGTGGAATTAGTATGCTGGCGCCGGCTTGAGTCGTGCACGCTGTGACTCTCTGGGTATTACTCTGCAGGCGGCATTCATGCAACAGAAGAAAGTCAGAGCGACGGCGCAACAGCTCACGGCAGCACGAAAAGAGCGCGACGGACCGCAAAAGAGGGAATGATTTCCCCAACGGCCTTCGAAAGGAGCATCAAGGAGGCCCTGGACTAGGCCCGCAGCCAGCTAGACCCTCTTGGTCAGGGTCCACACTCGCCTTTGCTGCTTAATTTACGGCGGGACCAGCTGCTGCCCCTGGCCCCGCATCCCACCTACACCGACCTCACCTCCGCCTTTCCTATGGATCGAGCCCTTGATGTCACTGATTGCGCGACCAAGCGCTGATGTCACGACGCTGCCACTGGCAGCTGTCACAGCCATGCACGCGCAAATGGCGTGCACGAGGAACACGCGACGTAAACATGCGCGCCCACGCTAATTTCGGCGCCGGGGCCAATCACCGCCGCCGACACTCCGCATCCTCCTCACCAAGACCTCCCTCCCTCCAACCCCCTCCGTCCGCATCGAGCGATTGCACTCCTCCCATGCCCTCTTGAGTCGGCAGCGTCCTCCGTCGTGCTTGGCATCGCTTAACCGGGACGGGTGGTAATAGTACCTCAACACCTCCAGGGATTAACAAGAAACTACTCGAGTGCCCCTGCAGACCGCCTCTTGCTACGGCACAGTTGCTCCACACGAACTGCCCATCTTTTCCGTCTCTCGCGCCGAACTAGATGTACTGGTGTAGTCTAGGTTCTGGATCGCGACGATCAGTGGTATTCTCCGCTGATGCGAGTCTACAGTTATCTCCGTCAACTACTACCGTGATCGAAACCTTCCACATATGCTGGAAGAATATTACAATCCATGTTATCTAGCGGCTACAGCGACTGGACGCGGTGGATCTCGATTGAGCAGTGTCGACATTCTCCAAGTCCATTGTTACCTCCCTACTTGTTTTGTCCATCTTGTATGTTGTGACGGGAAAAATGCATCGCCAATAATGTTTTTCTGGCCATCTTGCTGCAAGTTGAGCGGTGTTGAACGAGGATTAGTGTCTTGAGTGGAGCCCATTATGTCCTACTCTGAGAGTGAATCACCAGTAACAGTAAGTACATCGGCCTGCTCATGATCTCTGTTGCACTTTGCTAAGCACAATCCTCAGGAGTCCATGTGAGAAAGATACGAGCGACTGACACCAACAAGCTGGTTCCTTCGCAAACTCCCCCGTACTGGAAAAGATAAAAACGCGTAGCGTGCAGAGCTGTATTGACCATGCCTTCTTGTGCGATTCACCATTGAATTTGGCCTATATACACCATGCAGAAAACCACAAAGCGCTCTATCCGCGTCATGATATGCCAACGTCCAGGAGTGCCATCGCTACGCCAAAGCAGTGATTGGAATTACACAATGGTCGATAAACGGTCTCCTTCACTATGTCGTTCTTTTCGGAGACAAGCTTTGACCCCCGTTGGAATTTGCTACACTGTTCTTCACACCTTTCACAAGGGTGTAGTGACGACTCGTGAAAGGTCGACAGCAAGAAGTTAGGCACCTCAGTCACTCTAGTCGATTCTCCGTTGGCTTTATACCCCGCCTCCCATCCGTTGCTTTCCAAGTTCATACCCGCAGCTCAAATCTATCAACTGTAAGGATCCACCACCCAGTACCGCCGCGATGCCTCCGAAGCGTAAGAACCAAGAACCCACTACACCAAAGCCCGCGAAGAAAGCCAAGACAAGCGGCACTCCTACGCGCACATCCCCGCGCAACAAGACCGGTAGTGAGACACCACCCGCAACCAGTACCGGCAAGAAGCAGAGGAAGCCGGCGCATCCCGGATCAAAAGCAGTCAAGGCCCCAGACGAAGACGCCAACTTCGAATGGGAGATCTTAGACGGCGACGAACGCTCGACGCTAGTCGTCGGTAAGGATCAGGCAAATCGACTGACACTCACGTTCCACCATCGACATGACAGGAACGAGAAAGATCGAGTCTTTACATACGAAAGGAGGGAAGCGACTGATATCGACTGGAACTCCAAGGACCATATCCGGGACATCAACAAGTGGCGCAATCAAATCTTCGTCCAGAATATGAAGTTCCCTCCCAAAGTCACCCACACACCATGGACTCCGTTCGAGACCGCCTATCTCGAGCTGTTTCACGAGAAGCTTCTGGAAGCTGCCACTGGGAAGACCGACCCGTTCGTCGCGCCCCACAACGAACTCATCTACAAGGCTTTCAACGACTACTTTGAGGACCGGACCGATATTCGGGACAAGAGCGGCAAACCCATAGAGGAGGGTCTCGGTACCAGGCCCCCAGGTGGCCTGAATTCGTACCTCAACCGCGCTGGTACTACCCTCCGTGGCCTCCGAGATCGTATGAAAGCACTCGAGCCCAAGCTTAAGAAGAGCAAGAAGGAGGACACCTGGATGCCTACCATCACCGACGACGAGATCGAGCAGTACATCAAAGGGGAGTGGGAGTCGGCTGTTGATACTACTGCCGCTGGTGATGAGGGTGAAGAAGAGGATGTAGATCAAGCGGAGGAAGAGGATGAGGATCAAGCTCAAGCTGAGGATGAAGGTGAAGAAGGAGAGGATGAAGATCAAGCTGAGGAAGAAGACGACGGTAATGTCTCCGATGGTTCTACTCTTACCACACCACCTGACACCGACGAAGAACTTGAAAGCATGGAGATTCTCGAGCGCGAACAACAGGCTAAGCGTCTGATAGTCAAGCTCAAGCTTAAACCCAGCACAGCCAGCAAGTTTCCAGGGGGCAAACGACCAACCACCAAGCCTGCGACAACCAAGCCTACAATAACGAAGCCTACAACCAGCAAGCCTACAGTCACCAAACCTACAGTCACCAAGCCTACAACCAGCAATCCCGCATCAAACACGCGGAGTACTAGTAAGGCCACCTCGGGCAGGTCAAGCGCCCGTTCTTCTTCGCCACCTCCTCCAGAGAAAAGCACCAAGAAGACGAGTCCCGCCAAGAAGACGATGACTGATTCACGGAAAACGACGGAAGCGCCCGAACCGAAGTCGAAGCCGCGAGTCGTTAAGCCCGTCGAGACAGAACCAATACCTACCCATCCAGACGTCATTGCCGATCTTAAGGCTAAGGGCTACACTTGGACCGAACTTCCCAAGAATAACGAGGAGGCGATCAAGGCACATCGGGAGGCGCAGAACGCGAAGCCTAGTGACAATGCGTGGATCGAACCAACCAAGAAGAACCTTGAAGACCGTATTCAGAGGCAGACAAATGAGGATTTTAATCGCGAGTTCTTCAACAAGGACTTAAAAGAGAAATATGAGGGCAAGGGCAAGATGGTCAACGTGGAGGATTGGCACGAGAAATCTGCACGCAGAGACGGAGCGGCGGAAGTTACTGCCCTGCTCAACACGGCTGATATCCCACCCCTCGGCTACACAGGTGACATCCGCGATCTCCACAAGAAGAGGCTGTTATCAGAGGACGAACTCGAGTTGGCTGACGCACGCGAAGCTGCCATCCCTCGCATGCAGGAAGCAGTCGAGCGCGCGCGCCAGATGAAGATCAAGGAGGAGTCTGACAAAGACCCCAACTTGAAAGCGAAGCATGATCGGGCTGCAGCTATGCAAAAAGATGTGGCCTACGATTCAGACATCACGACTTCGGGGGAAGATACGGATGAGGAGGCATGATTGAGCAGATGAGGGCGTCGATGAATTTGCTGGACAGCAAGTCAGGTGTTGGAGCGCAAAGTTCGTCAACTACGAAGCTACCGGATTGGTCGCTCGCGACTACTAGCTAAAACAATGAAATACACTGTAAACTATTCATTATCTCGATGACATTCATGTGACGCTGAAAACGTTTCTTTATCATAAACAAAGCACCCGAGTGTCGGAAGGTACCGGCACTCGAGGCGACGACGAACAAAGCGAAAACCCCCACCTTGAAAATGGCTACGTTGTCCGTATCGTCCTCGATACTCGAGATACACGTCGCTCTGCACAATACTATTTAACGCTACGCAGGACGACTCAGAAGAAGTGCCTGACACGATGGTGGCGGCGACGAGATCACAAACCAAGGATGCGCCTGGGGCCGCGCAGACAGCTTCATCATCTCTCCTGGTTAATCCTACCGTCCAAGAGAACTGGCCTGCGAATCCGACGACGCCGGCAGAGTTCAATACATGGATGGCTGAAACCAAGGCCGCGTTAGAAAAATGGTTGAGAGAAGCTGAGGCCGCGGCCAAAGACCCGGCGATCGAGGAAACCATCAACAACTACAACAAAGAAGCGCGGGAGAGATGGCTACCATTCGAACGACAAACGGACGTAGAAACGGGCATCATCCATGATGCAGCGCAGCAAGCGGCGATGAAAAGAGCCGTGTTGCGCGAAAGGAGAACGCGCGAGAACATACACGACGAGCACAGGACATGGAGAAAATTCGTCGAGTACCGATACGCGCAATCTGCCTGGGAAGACTTTCTATACTACCAGAATGTGTGGAATAGAAAAGGACACGATCCCTGGAAGATATATAGCGTAACGGCTGCCGAGGCAAGATACCAAGAAGCACTGGGGTCACTCAGCGCGAAAGCGAGACAGGACGTGGAAGATCTAGACTCCAACGAGGATACAGCAGCAAAAGCTCCAAATCACCTCCAGGCTAAAGATCGACAGGCCCAGAAGCCCGGTACGAACAATCAGAACAAGCTCGACCGAACGAAGATCAACGCCTACACCGACGCCTTCCACGACCCTTACATGGTATGGCTAAAACACATGATCGACCTGTATAAAAGTGCGTGTCTCGGCTATCGAAAGCGCATTCCCGGTGTTGTGGCTCCTGAGAATGCGCATCGGTATAGCCAGCCGCCTCGTGGTACTACACCGCGAAGTACGCCACGCTATCACCACCGCCATCGTCACATCGAAGAAAGGTTTCCGCGTACAAGACGGCAGCAGATAGATAGGGCTGAAGATGAAGAGGGGTCTCGGACGAAGGCGCAGAGAAGCCGGGATATGCGGCTTGAAAGGAGGGGTAGGATGGAGTCGATTACATGGAGTATTGACGAAAAGGCCTATGAGAAATTAAGAGCCGAGAAGGAGAAGGAGTTCAGCAAGAACCCACTCACCATAAACCTCCTGCCCGACGGTCACCAAACCCACCACGGCAGTCTAGAAACAAGTTTCAACTGGCCCACATCCTTCGACACCCCCGTCTCCACCATCCTTACAACCACAAAAACGCGACACCACGTCTACGACCCCCTCAGCGACCCCTCCCCCTCCCCGTCCTCCCCCAAAAGCCGAAAAAGTTTTCTGGGCTACAAGAAAGACGACAAGGGAGAGCGTATCAAGAAAATCGACAAAAGACCACACTACCAGCGCGAAATTCACATGCGCGAAGGCCTCGTCTTCCAACACCAAATGCGCGCCGATGGAACGGTAGAAGGGCGAGATCGCAACGGTGAATGGATTGGAGATTGGGTACCGGGCCAGATAGCTTCCCCCGTTTGGGTGTATGACGGGGACGGTGAACGTATTCCCTTGCCGCCGCGGTATGAATCGAGGAACAGGTTCTCTACTTTCCTGGTCAAGGAATCGCATGTCAGGGAGACAAGGCGTCAGCGACATGAAGGGGCAGGACGGGAGTATGAGGTATCGGATGATGAAAACGAGGCATGTGTGAACTCGAATGCCAACTTCTCGAGATCGGGGAATGTGAATCCGGAGTTGTTGGGTAATCCTTGGGCGGACAACCTCGACAGCGACGACGAAGGCGAAGGGGTTGGTCACCCTGGTGACAGCGATGATGAGGATAGTGACGATGACGGCGATTTGTTTGCGCAGTCGTATAGAGAGTGCTCGGAGAGTGCTGCAACGAGACAAGCGCGGTTGTTGTTGGAGGATATGCGAGAGAGGTTTGGTGTGCTTGAGAGCTGGACTGTGAAAACTGTTAGAGACTTGCAACGGGACGGTAATGATGGTTCCGTGGTTGTTGGGGATGAAGAGATTATAGATTGGTATAAGAGCGAGACGGAGAGGTCGTAGATAGTTGGTGTGATTGATGTTTGCTATCTCCTTCAAGTTGGTATCACCTGTGTCCTGTGAGCTCGGCCAGGCCTGCTACTCGACTGTTAACAATGCACTCTAGATGATATAGTGAAAGAGAGAGCTGAGTGGCGCTAACTGATTGTGTGCTCGAAAACTCAAGTAGCCACCGCGCATTGACCATCACAACAGTGAGTAGTCGATAACTATTTGCTACAAGTTAGCAACCACCTACAATCAACTCGATAAAGACATCCGCAACCCTTTGTCGCATTCTAAGCGCCTTACTTCAACACGAAGCGTCCGCCAAAGCTCTTCGCATAGCCATCATGAATGACATCATCCTACCAGATGCGGCGTCTCCAGAGCAAAGCCGCCCCCAGGACACGTTCACACCCACTCAAGGTGTTCCCGATGAAGCTGCGAGCACTCCAATGAGCATTGAAGATGCGATGGCCACAGAAGAAAGCCGCCTCCAGGACGCATCTACACCCACTCAAGATAATCCTGATGAAGCGGCGCGCACTCCTCGCAACATCGAAGATGCTGCGTCCCCAGAAGAAAGCCGACCCCAAGACGCAGCCGTACTCACCCAAGATATTCCCGATGAGGTAGTGTGCACTCCATTGAACATTGAAGATGCGGCCGCCCCAGAAGAAAGCCGTCCCCTGGACGCACCCGCACCAACCCAAGACATTCCCGATGAAGTAGCGCGCACTCCCTGGAGCGTCGACGAGCGCCTTTTCATCCAGCTACAAGCCGGATTTGCACTCACCGCCGCCTTCCTGCCCATCTGTACAGTACTCCCGCCGACAGGCCAGAGCGGCTACTACGTCTTTCGCCGCTTCTTCAATGACGCCCAGCAAGGTACCGCCGAGGCCGCTTCCGACGAGAACCCTACCACGACCTTGAGAACCCAAGAAGAATACCTACTCAAACGGCAGGAGTTGGTACACAAGACACTGTCAATAACGGATGACTTGGTGCGGAAGGCGATGAAGTCCGGAGAGTTCATGAGGGGTAAGATGTGGATAATCGAACAGGAAGTCTTCGACAAGTACCGAGAGATCCGCGAAGACTATGGCATCGATTTGCCAATCGATGACCCGAGGCACTCCGAGGAGATGCGCGAGTTCCTGTACCGGATTGTTTGCGCAAGGTTCCCCAAGTCGTTGGGACATAGTCCCACCAGCTCAGATGCGGACGAGAATGGCACCGCTATGGCCTATACTGACGACGACATGTATGAAGGCTCAACCCAAAGCTCTCCGCCTGAAGACGAGTTTGAGAATACCGAGAGCGCTTCGCCGGCGGAGGAAGACGCGCCAGCCACGGAGGAGACTACACGACAGACACGTACTAGGGCCAGGAAGTCCACCGCCGCCCTCGACGACGACAACGCATTCCCACCGGTCCGTCAGTCCGGTCGGAAAGTCCGTGTAACCGGCAAAGCGGAAACGGCGCAGACAGGTACGAAACGCACCAGGCGAAACACAATTGTGGGAGAGGAGAGCGAAGATGAGGATGAGGATGGAGAAGAAGACATCGCGGAAGATGAAGAAGAAGAAAAGGGTGGAGCGTCACCGAAGAAGCGCGCCAAGAAGGCCGTCCGGAAGACCGCCCAGAAGACCGCAAAGCCGAAGACCAAGAAGGGTCATGGTCCGAATCGGAAGCTGAACGATGCCTGGTCGCAAGCAGAGCGCGAGGTCATCATAGCACTCTTCAACAAGATCATAGCCGAGAAGGGCCTTATTCACTGGGCGGAACATATCAGTGCCCTCTTCTACGAGGCCACCGACGCGGTGAACGCGCATAGGGCCCTGGATAAAGCCACATATCCTGGTGATCCTCGCGGCATGGATGGTGTGCGCACTCAGGTTCACAAGAAGGCTGCTTATAAGCGCATTAAAGCGCAAGCTGACGCGCTGAGGACTAGGAAGGCCGATCCAAAGAAGACGGTGACAGAGGCGGAGCTCAAGCCTCGAGATGTGTTCAAGGCGACGGATCTCGAGCCCGATAGCGGCAAGAAATGAGGACAAGGAATGGAGACTTGGATGGTGAAGGTGGTGTCGATGTATTTAGCGGATATCGATGAATGGGCGGAACGTAGGTGGTCTTGGAATACATGTCCGTCGGGGCGACATCAAGGCAACGGCTTTCGCCAATGAGCTGGAAGGTGGTGACTGAAGGTAGCGCTGTAGATTGGACAAGGCGTGAGTGGCGCTGTGAGGCACCGACGATCAGCAATTCTCGAGGCCGTCGCCCGTTACTATAGCAATGAAAAGATGAAAGATATATATCCAAATGTGCTGGTTGTGCTTACTGAGTGTCTTCACGACGCGCGCCTGCTTAAGAGGGAATGGCATGCGTTTGCCTGAATAGATTGAGCCTGTCACGAGGAACATACGTGCGTGCGGCGAAAGTCATTCGGGCAGAGGGATGCGAGCAAGTCGTGATGCGATGGCGGAAGACGACAAAGCCAGGCGCCAAGGTGAGGTTGAGGTTTGCAGCTAGTAGGTCATGACGTCACTGCCGACGCGTCGATGCGGGAAACCTCCTCACCGAACCCGATACCTACTGTTAAGCATCCTCCTAAACCGCGTCGCAATGCTCTTTATCTTCGTCAAAAGAGCGGTCGAACAATATGCGACAGGCTGCAGACACAATGCCTTTTACTACGCAGTACTACCGCTACTGCGTCTATTCCAGCCCGAGCCGACCTCAATACTCGACCATGCAGACTATTCTTTCACCTCTGGGCACCCCAAAACACGCGACATGCTATGTAGATCCGCTGCATACGCGGGCACCATGACCATGAATTAGTCCTTCTGGTCAAAGCGCATCGTAGAAAGCCTCTCACGGTATTGCGCAGCTTTGCAGCCCGGTAACCCTGATACAGCTGAGCATCGCTGATCTGAGCCGTCAATCTCACGAGACGTCCGCGCGACATATACGCAAACAATAAGCGTGTAGGCGTGGCTTGCCAAATGACATGCTGAAGAGGGCCATGCATCGATATCAACACGCGGGAAAGGTATCGCGTGTCGCTTGCTGCTAGAAGCGCGTGAGGAAGGTCGAAAGCTAATCAAGTATAAAGACTGGTGTCATCGATGGAGTTACTGACAGACTATCGTTACTTCACAGTACCATGGCTTCAGAGGATCACTACAAACACGCAAGATTACTCTACGCCCGTCTCAAGGCTGAAGCCGGCGACTACCCGCACTGGAATGGATTACACATCTACGACATGATCAAGGAGGGTGTTAGCGACGAACACATCAAAGCCGAGTGGAGTGGTACTGTGTTGATGTATCAAGACTCATCGGGCGGAGCGGCAGACGTCTTCTCGCGCTTGAGTCGTTTCGGTGTTACTCGTCATGGCATTGACCAAAATTTTGTCGCAGAATGGATGGAAGATGGAATGTCAGAACGAACCATCGCCTTGCAGTACCTTCTATCTCCACTGGAGCCAACTATCGAGGATGTAAAGGCATGCTTAGCTGAGCTCCAACGTCAAATGGGCCCTTGTCCATCGATGACGGAAGAGTATATCCGCAGATGCATGGAAGACCGTACCCTTGGCGAAGACCTTGCTATGGAGTATGCAAAGCGCCGACAAGAAGCGCAACTGGCAGATCAAACAGACGTTCCACGACCAATGTCCGACGAGGACTTGTGGTTCGAGCTGCATTACGGTCTTCTATACGCTACCACGAAACTTCCGTCGGAGCCCGTCGTTTTGCGGCATCCACGGCACTCCGTGCATCAATACAAGATTCACTTTAACGACGGGCCTGGTATTGACGATGGCCTCTTCAACGCCAAGACGAGAAGATTGGCCAGAGACACGGTCATGAGGCTAGATTGGCGACTGGACCCATTCATCAAAGCAGGCGGTCACCCAATAGCCTTGCGAACAACCGTTACGTCGGATCATCTGGCCGCATACCGGAAGATACGTAAAGTCATCATAGGTGATGAGAGCAACACAGACGTGGAGAGTCATAGCGTGCGCTTGCAGTTCCTCATGGACCTAGCGGCAAAGTTACATCCAAATCTAGCCTCACCGCCTATGCAGTCTACTGATGTGGTAGCACCAGTGGAAGCGTTCTCCAAAAGCCTCTGGACCGAAATGGAACGTCACGCCCTCTGGCGCGCCATCAACAGGTGGTGCAAGGATAATGGTGTAGATCAATTCGAATCAGGCAACATAGGCATAGTCACATGTCAGACTTTTGCTGACGATATCAAAGCAGATTGCGCGATTAGAGGTAGAGGATCAGAGCGCAGTGCAGAGAGCGTCCAAAGCCAAGTAAAAGACGCGATGCGGAGGGCCAAGACGGTAGCGAACAAGCCGATCACGGAGCTGGCCTTGCGTGCAAAGGCAATGAAAAAGAAACTCATCGACAAAGGCGTCGACTCTGTCCCAAAGAGCGAAAGGTTTCCGAAAGCAGCCATTGATATCCCAGGGGACAATGAGTCGGACACTGATTAGACGGGTTCTGCAAATGTTCAGGATGAGAGAGATGTTCGGATCAGGTTAGCTAGATGTTAGCTACAACGAAATCTAGCCTTCCTTCATGACCTAGCACTGAGTTTACAGGGTGAGTCTGACAGTGTTATGCCGAGCAAATTACGAGGATGCTGCGAATAGTGTGACATGGTGGCAACGTAGTGGTAGGACAAGCAATCTTCACGTGGTTCCGCGCGATTGCTATAGCCCAAACTAACCTGATCATATCAGTCGCTTGATACCGTTCCTTACAAACACCCTGGCGTATAAAGAAGCAGGCCAGTATGGCGTTACCTTCGATCAATACACGGAATTATCACCATGACCGACAACCTCGACACTCCAGCCATCCCGTACGCCGAATGGAACAGAGATCAGCGCGCGTGGATTCATCTCTACTACAAACTTTTGTTGCAAACCAGGCGTCAAAACCCATCTTTCCCGGTCTGCACTAGCGACAGCGTAGCTGCAATTGCTCATCAAATGTTCTTCCGCAGCCCTGAAGAGAAGCAAAATGGCATGAAACCGCACTCTTTGGAGGACGATAAGGTCTATAAGGCTACATTTATTCGGTACCGAAATGTCGGTCTCCCAAATATAATGTCTCATATAGTGCAGCTCTGCAAGGAAAATATCGAGTTAGACTCTCGTTGCAGCATACCTCAGGTCTTCATCAATAGACCGATGCTAGACGAATACATCAAGATCAGCGGGAGGTATTGGGGCGGCGGCCCAGAAAGCGATGATCCAGAGCCCTGGAAGTCGCAGACTGTTCTCTGGGATTTCATCTCAGCGACAGTAACCGAGAGGTTCCTTCACCGTGGGGTTCTGGACAGCCAGGACACTCTTGTGCAGTCATTCGCTCGAGTAGATGAGGACAGCGGAAAATATGCACCACCTCCCACTGATGAGGAACGCGCGGAGTTGAGGCTGCTGCAGCAACTCATTCAGCGTCGACTTGCTAGAGCTGACGATGACGATCCATCGATGGCATAGCGTAGGGGGCATAGTGACTTGATCCATGTGGACACCGGATATGCTGTGGTCTCGTTTCAGCATCTTGCGTGGAAATGAAGTTCAATGTATGTCAATTTACACAACATGTCTACTTCATAGTCATTTGAAATATGGCTTTCATAACCCAAGATTGTGTAAGTGACGAGTCTTCAGTCTTTGCGCAGGGCCTGATTTCCACATGCTTCTGATGTGTGCATGCCGTCTAGGCGCGTAATATCAGTCATTCATTCAATATGGATCAGAGCATCCAATCCCGAAGAGTGTGGGTTTGATTCCTCCCGCAGACCAGAATTCACAACTGTCCCAGACCTCTTTCTCACCCTGTAGGACGCGTCTTGCCACGTCGTACCAGTCGACACGCCCGAGCCCTGCCGGTACCAACACAAGACGGAATTCCCGTCGTAGAGAATCATTTTGGCGCAAGGACAGCCTTTATTCTGACATGTACTGCAAGCTTCAAGCTCACCGGTCTCCCGTGCGTCCTTTGATACCTTGCCTTTTGCATATACAATTGTTCGAACGCATCCTCGTCCCACGTTCGCTAGCCGGTTGCCTTCTCTCACCATCGTGGCATAGGAATTGTGGTGGGCAGTGTCGGCTTTGTTGTATTGGACATCGTTGCTGGCGCTGAACCAGTATTGGAATTCTTCTTCAAGTGTCTGTTGCGCGGCGGGAGACAAGTCGTTGACCGTTCGATAGCTGACTCCGTCTCCGCCTTCGCCCTCAACGCAGAATAGCCAAGGTATGTCCTCGGCAGACGAAAAGGGTCGACTTTTGACCGCGAAAACCGACTTCGTCCTCCGCCTTTTCGGTCGCTGTGTCGATGGGTGGTCTTGGTCGAGTTCGTGCGGGCGCTTGTTAACGGTGAATGTAGGTGGAATCTCGGATTCCTCGGGGGCTGGACATCAAGTCAGTGCTTGTTCAACTTCAGACTGACGAGAAGGATGCGCTCCTTACTGGGTTCATCTCGGCCAAATTCCGAGCCATCAGAAATATGTGATGAGGTTGGAGAAGTCTCGTTGTCTTGGCTGTGACCACGATGCGAATGATCTGTTGGCTCAAAGCTAGAGGCTTGCGGTGCCGAAGGTAAGTAATCAACCGCTTCTGCGATATGATCAGACCGCGGTATGGCTGGCAGCGGCGGCTTTGTCATTCTACCTCCTCCCGGCTTGGGTATGATATCGTAGAATTTCCGATATTGCTCTTCCGAGTCGAAGAGCTGCTTCTTGGTATCGGAGAGTTCTTTCGTGATGTTGGAAAGCTGTTCCCGCGTAAGAAGCTTCTCTGTACGCTCTTTCTTGGTCGCTTTGTGAGCATCGCGCACTTCGTCCTGGAGGCGAGTAACCAGGATCTCGTGCTCCACTTTGATCTTCGCTTTCTCCGTGGCGTGCTCGAGGTCTTTGGTCCGCAACTCTTCCTCTGATTTAAAGAATGCGATATGTAGCCCGGCGTGTGCGGCGTCGGGATCGGTCTTGGGTCGTACACCTGCTGCGAAGAAGACGTTAGTCTTGATGCTCAATTGGATTCCACAATTCTGCATGTAAAGGCCAAGGTCTTCTCTGCTCTCTTCGGATGACTCACCTGCTAAGTCGAGTTGTTGCTGAAGTTGAGCGATCTTGGCATCTTTGTCCTCGCATGTCTCGCAAAGCTCATCCGTGTTCTTCTCTTTGTTCGACGAGGTCTTGATATTTTCCTTGAGGGTATGGTTCTCCTCCCACAGCTGTCCGATTTTGGTGTATAAATCAGTCAGTTTTCGCTTCTGTTCCTCGGCGTTGCTAAGAGCAGCATCGCGTTCACGCTGAAGTCGAGACTCGCTCTCACTGACCTTGCGCCCCGGGTTCATTAGACTGTGCGAATATGGTGGGCGTGGTGAGAGACAGTAAGCAGTAACAAGGGTGCCGAGGCAGAGATTTCGCGTCTTACAGGAGGGCGGTGGGGGTGCGACGCATGCGCTTCAGGAAAGAGCAAACGGGCTTAATCACGTGCGTGTTAGTTAGCGCAGAGTTAACTGTGCCCAGGTCGATGGTATGTGTAGATGAGAATAGTCGAAGATACAATACTGCATAATTTGTTTCGCTCGATTAATGTTCCAATAGTACTATCATGAACTACCACAGCTTCCATGAGCTCCGCGCTTCGACAGTGCCGTTGCAAGGGACTGCTGTGCCGTTGCTTGAGCTTACAACACCCTTGCTCTGAACCTCAGTACCCTCGCTCGTGCTTTCGGTACCGTTGCTCGGGTTCCCAGCGGTAGTCACCCTGCCTAAAGATGGGTGTACGAAGTCAGTAATCATCTCACAACAGTTCGTACATGGATATCACTTGCTGTTACCATTGAACGCAAGTAGGTTCACCGAGCCCATGGGATCCGTCACGACATTGGGCGTAGCTAGTGCGTACACCCTGGCCTTGACGTCAGCGGCAGTCGATGGTCCTTCAAGACCACGCAGATACGAGACCAAGCCCGCTACGTGAGGAGATGCCATGGAAGTACCAGTCAACGTCCTCGTCTCTGTGTCGCCCAGGTTAGACGCCGATACGATGTTCGTTCCAGCAGCGAAGATGTCGACCGCAACGCCGTAGTTGGAGCCTCCACCGCCGCTGTGCCTCTTGTTGGTGATTTCGATGTTTCCAACACAGATAACTTCAGGGGAGCGAGCTGGCGAGCTGTTGATAGCAGGGGAATCCTCGTTTCCTGCCGATGCCACGACGAGAACGCCTTTCTTCCAGGCTGCAGTGATGGCGGCATCCCATGTTGTTGACGCAGAAGAGCCAAGCGAAACGTTGATGACGGCGGTGTTTTGGCGGCCCTTGGAAACAATGTCGTTGACTGTCCAGTCGAATCCGGCGAAGACATCTGATGCGCTTCCGGTGTCACTGTCCAAAACCTTGACGCCGATAATGTTGGTCTTCTTAGCGACACCGTACTTGGCGCCACCCACGGTTCCAGCTACATGCCTGGGACTTGTCAGGATATGAGAATGAATGTTTTAGAGGGTGTGACTTACGTTCCATGGCCTTCGTTGTCGGCGTCGGCGGTGCCTCTCACGGCATTGTAGCCCCAAGTCGCTCGTCCCTCGAAGTCGCTATGACTGATACGAACACCAGTGTCTGAAAGATAATGTCAATACCGATTCAATATTGTCATCACTTTCGTGACTTACCCATAACGTAAGAGAAGGTGCCTTTGCCGGCAGTGTCATCATACACGTATGAAGTGGCTCCTACCTTGCGGGAAGAGATGCTGGCTAAACCCCACGGTGCGCTCGCTTGAGTCACCACCGCGTTGATCCTCACGATAAAGTCCGGTTCAATGGTGAGGACCTCAGGGAGGGCCTTCAGCTCTTCAACGGTTGCCTCATCGAACGACCCAGCGTAGGCTTTGAAGTCGCCAAACCCGTACTCGCGGTCCACTGGAGCACCAACGGGACCATCGTCGCCTCGTCGAGCCAGATTGCGGGCATGTATGCTGCGCACAGTGTTGTGGTGGGCTGCGATGGATGCAACGTCGGTATCAGGCTTCAGCTGAACGATGTATTTTCCGGGGATGATCTCGTTTGCTGGAGGCGCCACAACGGGAGCAGCTTGGGCCAGGAAAGGGGCTGCAGCTGCAGCGAGCGCGGTGATGCGGGTGAAAAACTGCATTCTGCCTGTTGATCGTGGGTGCGGCGTGTGGAAATCAAGGTCGATTTGCCTACTACTGCTGGACTACGTGCGCTTTTTGACTTGCACCATCTTCGTCGCATAGGCTACGATACGACTAATCGTTAATCCAAGCATCGCGCTTTTCTTGACTACTGCCTGTTTGGGCACAGCTCCCGTAATGCAGTTCGTATAAGAGGCGATGCCGGTAGCGGTAGATGAGAATCTTCCGACTCATGGTCGGCCAAGACGGTCGCGCCAGGGGTAATTTTGGAAACGGGATGGGAAACAACCCTGTTTTTCCGGCCAGCGCTTTCCATTTCGAGCGTGACTACCGGGCGCGAAGCGATGGACACGGGATCCGGCGTCGTATTTTGTGGATAGATCCCACATCGGAATGCACTCCGCAAAATCGGGCCTTGTAAAATCAATGCCATTGTTCGCGACAACAGAACAGGCAGGTTCCAAGAGTCTGTATATTGCGAAAGGCTCGAAAATATGGGGAGAGATAAGGATCAGTGTGGGCAATAGAGCACTATCAAGGGTAAAGGGCAGTAGATGATGCAAAACGCTGTTCAGAGTGGTGGACTTTTCGGAGAGAAGAGTCTGCGGTGCATCTGGAGCCGTATTGCATCAGTCCAACAGACGCAACGAGAAGGAGACCGTCCGGACAAGAGATAACATCGTGTACTATTGACGACTTGAATTGCGTGGTGGTCTCGTACTGGAAGAATCTGCTGGGCGGGCGGTCCCGAGATCTTGAGCGGCTTGCGGCAGATATCGGCGCGACTACGGAAGTAGATAGCGAGGGCTATCAGTCCAATCCATTGAGCTGGTTGATGATTTAACACCGAACAGTCGCTGCTTCGTGCTACCTGTATTAGCTGATTATGGTCGACGCATGATGTGTGTAGATGATGGGCATGCGGGTGAAAAGGAGTAGCGAGAAAGCCGCTCCGGTCGATAACAGGCTGGACTGGTTGCGCTAGATGACTCAGCAACTCCCGAAGTCCCTCCCGCCATCCTGGCGCGAAAGCTGTCGCAAACTTCAACACCACAGAATAATGGTCACGCGTCGTGGGGCCCTGCATCAACCTGCATTTTTCCATGTCTTCGCTCAGATGTCACGGTAGCTTGCGACAGCGCGTAATGAATAGATGGAATAGATGGACTACCTAGGTGTACAAGAAGTCCGATTCTCTTCCGCCTGTTGACCTTAGTTCGCCTCTACGCTATAGCATCCGATGCACTACCTTCGATCCACGCAAAGTGCTGATGAAAACGGCGAGACCTTCCATCTCTACCTGGGCCGAAATCTTGCTGACTCCTTCTCATCCCATTCCGCCTCTAACAAAAGAACAAGTTCTACTCATCCTCTCCAACTACTTCTTCCTCATCATCATCGCCAAACTCAAAGATCATGTCAACTTCGCGGGTGATGTCCTCGTCGTCGCCATCGGTCTCATCGACTTCCTTAGCAGCATGTGCTTCATTACGACCATCCATCTCGGCCTTGGTGAGATGCGCGTCTCGTCCAAGTTGTACCCTGCCTTTGGCACTGAGCCGAGGACGTTTGTCAGACTTGCGCGGGGAAGAGGGCAGCGAATCGTCGTCATCGTCATCTTCGTTCGAGCCAGATTCGATGGAAGTCTCGTCGTCGGAATCGTGCTTGCGCTTCTTGCCGGATTTGTTGTGTTCGGACGGTATCTGTCGCGTCGCCTTTGCCAAGAAGCCGGCAACGTCGATAGCCTGATCAGGATAGCGCTCGTCGACCGGGATGCTTTCACCAGATTCAATCCGCGCAGCCAGCTTCTGGCCCTCAATGTATAGCATGCCCAGGGGCTCGTTGGGTTTATTGGTAATCTGCTGTCTCGCCCAACCACTGACCGAGTCAACTGAACGCAGAAACCCTGTCTTTGCCACAAGGGTAGCCTGGAGATCCTCCCTCCCACTCTCCATGACCCGAGGTAGGAGCTTATCCACGCCGTTCTTCTTGACCCAACTGTTCACCCACTCGTAAACAACGGCACGCTCATTATCGGTCCAGGGATCGCGCATCTTGGTCGTCTCACCAGTGTCACGATTGCGCCACTGAGAGAGCTTCTTGCGGTACCTCAAAACCGAAGTATCATCGTTAAGATCGATTTGGTCAAGAAGGTCGAGATCGACGAGGTGTTCGTGGATGTAAGCATTTGTGGCTGTGTCGAAGACCATGAACTTGAAGGTAGGTGCCCAGCTCGTCTCGCCGCGCATCCAGGTCTCTCCATCATCTGATGTCACCCAAGATGTGTCTTTCCGCTTGTTCGGAATGGTGACGGCAGCGGGGTCGGGAACGAGATACTTGGGACGAGTTTTGTCGCGCCACATACGGGTCAGCTCCTGCTCAGTGTACTTGATGGCGATCTCTGGAATGACGTCCAGCTGCGCCAAGACCTTTCCCAGTGGAGTGGTGACACGATGGTGCACCCGAATGCAATCGCGCTTGTTCATCACGCGTATGAACTCCTCCGCATCTAGACGAGCCGTCTGGTTGAAGACGGGTTTAGGTCGCTTGTGCTGCCAGTTATCGAAGTCGTATTGGAGCACGTATATCGAATCGAAGAAGGCTTTCATCTTATCGAACTTCGTCGGGTGCGTCCAAGGGTCGACATCGGGGTCGAGACCCTTCTTCCTGGCCTTCTCCACCAACGCACCATACAAGCTCACCAATTCCTTACTCAAAAAGAGCTGCGATAGTGATTGGTGTTCTGGGTTCACGTCGCCATGCACGCGGTTCTTGGGCTCAGCGTTCAGGTTCGCCTGCGACTGCTTCTTGATCGCCGCAGTCAAATTCGGGACGAGCTGGTCGCACAAATTCTGGTGTTGCCGAAGTCGCTCGGAACTATTACTTTTGGCGGACCAGTGTGTCGCGACGCCTTCTTCGGTGACATCTCCAGCCAGAAAGGCGTCGAGCTGTCGAACTTGAGCTGGAATGTCCAGGTCAACTACTGGCTGCGAGGGATGTCGCGTCAGCGCCAGCAGTGTCGAGTATGTCAGGAGAATGTGTAATCTCTCAGGGTTCAAAGGTACGTTCGATAGCGCTGGCGGTGTCTTCGTCTCGTCTTCGTTGTCGCGATTTTGCGTAGTGTTTCTGGCAGGCGCAAGCTCGCTGACGCAGTCATCTTTCACGATGGTGAACGCAATCGATGTGTCTAGAGTGCA